CAATTATGGGTCATGAAGCACCTTGGATAATCTCCAGAAATCAATTTAAAGGGTAATAAAATAATTGCTGATGTAATATATTCCCTATAATTATTACAAAAACACAAAATAAGTAAAAAATATGTATTTATATTTGTGTATAAGCTGCTTAGATTGTCAAAAAGCCCATGTTTTTAGGTTTATTAACGAAGTTCATGTACTCAGACCAGTAATATTTGAGGTCACAAGTTTTTGCCATGGATATTTTGTGGGCCAGGAGACAAAAAGTTTGGGAACCACTGRTCTAGAGACTAAGTTTATGTGTTTCTGCCTCCCAGATTGGCGAGGTGGACGGGTCGACTGGTACCTTAACAGGAGCGCAGGACTTACAGTTGACTCTTTGCTGTCAACCTCAGTCTCAAGCAACAGGTGCACACACTGGGTTTGATCATTATTATTGTCTGAAAATAAGATTCTTTTTTTTAGTAGGAAGGTTTTATGCTCTTTTCAGAGCCTTCGCTGATTCTAGGTTGAACGTTTGCATGGCAGGGGCCCCGATGCTGTCCCGTCTGCTGGAGGCAGGTCCCGCCCAGTTCTCCACCCCGTTGGGTTTTATGGTCGGCGCAGACTCTGCTTCGGGTGTTTCTGTCTCTGCTGCCACTCCTGTTCCCGCTGACTCTACGGTCTCAGCAACTACAGGTTGGTTTACCTCTCAGCTGTTCAACCCTAAGACTAAAAGCCGACGTTGATGCACGTCTGATGTATTTATCAGCCCCYATTTACTGTGAGCAAATGCTGTGTTAATATTTCGGGTTGGAAACGTGCAGAGGGGGATGTGACGGCCCCCTCCGAGCACCCTGAGTGCCGTCCTGAGTCTACGGAAGAAAAGGTGGCGCAGCTCAGCGAGGAGGACGTGACCGTGTCCTACATGGGCGACGAGCTGGATCTGAAGACAGTGGGAGACATCATCGCCATCATAGAAGACAAGGTTCAAGAATATTTATTTTGTTTCACAATAAACATTGTCACTTTTTGCACCAGTTCAGTGGTAGATTTAGAAGTCGGCGTGATGTCATTCAGTCACGTGATTTCAACCTCCATTTTTTWATGGGGGAAAACTCATTGTGAGACTCCGTTACAAAATGTGTCAAAAGTAGAGACTTCAAGCTATACAGCAGTTTTTAAATTGTGTCAATGGATCAAGAGAAGAAAACTAGAATTACGATAAATGGCATATCTTACTATTTTTTTTTTCTGAAAATGAACATTCTATTTTGAAGTACGTTGTAGCAGAAGGGAGCAGGAAACACGGTAATCTCGTGGGAAAAAAACCTGCTGTCCATCATCAGTCTCATCTTTCTCTTAAACCAAAAAAATGTAACCCCCCAGACCTCCTTTTTGACTGAGGCTCAGAGTTATCTGACAAGTTGTAAAAAATCTACAGGAAGAAGAAAATAAAAAGAGGCGAAATTTGAATGGAGATTGGTGGCAATGAAGAGCTGGCGAGAGCAGGATTTTATTAATTAGATCTGTGACTTTTAACGTTTGGATTTTATAGTTAGTGTGTAGTTTTGAGTGTTTACTCTTCATTTCAGCCAATTTTAGTYTGTTTTAAATCAAAACAATGAGGCAATTCTTTTTAAACGAGGAGAAGCARGGAGGTCTACAGKGGCAGAACAACAACACYTGTCTTATTTCTCTCCCCTCACTCTTGCAGTTAGAAAAAAATTAATATTTTATCTCTGGATGTTTTTTTTCTTATGTGAGAAGTGCAGTCCTACAGCAACTTTTCACCATTTTTCCTGTTTTCCACATAGAGGAACTCATCCTATTTTCCCCCAAATCAAAATYTCAGCCTTCCTTTACGACATGGTCACGTGACCCGGCTGTTCGACTTTAAGAATCAAACTTTACTGGAGATTTTGAGTCGTGTTTCTTTTGCCCTCCAGGCAGATGAGGCTGCAGAGGCTTTGGATGCGGCTGCAGTGGAAGCTGCTCTGTCCCTCTGTGAAGAGAATGTCCACGCTCTGTCGGGATCCTGGGACACCGGGCCATTCCAGCCCCAGGAGCCYCACCCCACGGTGGCTGCGGTGGTCGCACAGTCCCCGCCATTTCACCGTAGCCTGGACAGTAGAGCGGAGGCGTCGCTGTCCTCCCTGTACAACAGTCCAGACAACAGCCTCGCCGTGTTTCCTGTGGAGCTAAGGAGCTTCCCTATCACCTCCTCGTGTCACTCGAAGACGTCAGAGCGCCGCAGCAGTGCAACACCTCCACAGGCCGATGCAAAAAGAGAGACGGGGGACCCCGGCAAACCCGTTTCTACGGATGGCAGCAAGGAAAGTGAAAGGGAAAATAAGCCACAGCTAAAATGTGAAAAAAACTATAGAGGTACACACACTTAAAGGGATAGTTCAGATCTTCTGAGGTGGGGCTCTGTGGAGAAGGTTACAAACAACTAGAGACAACTTAATCCTTGCAAAAATGCAGTGTTTATGCTGAGTACTGAATGACTTTTCTGAGTTGTCAAAGCCTAATAGGACAATATTATGTGCTTTCCAAGGCTTTATTTCAATTTTATACTAAAATAAATTAACTATGTTACATTTTCAGCTTATGAAAGAGCTATGTATTTGTAAAAATCCCCAAAACAATTTACTTCTCATCGACAGTTTCTAAACTCCTTGAAATAAGTCTCTGTCTTTTTAAGAAAATCCAACCACTTCGGTCACGCCCATTTCAGCACGTAGCCTGCAGGAGTAGCGGAGCGGGTGGGAGTGGGAGGGGCAGTGCACTCTGCCATGAGGAAGTTCGGCTTAAAGACACGTCCCAGGGGCGTTTCTGGTCCCCACCWGTCGTTTTGCTCCTCAGCATGGCTTCSTAAAAACYCTGCAGGATTTCTCAAACATGCATGAATGAGTCAAAGCAAGGCTTTGGGCATGTTTTTATGAGAGTATAACATTATAACATCATATAAAACTCAAAAAAGTTGATTTTACATGATATTACCCCTTTAAAAAATAAGTAGCAAAATATGAACTAAAAGTAGAAAAAAGGCCAGCTAATAGTATTAAAATAAAAAAATAAAAAAATAAATAAGTGTTTGCTACAAGCTAAATTACCAGAGCAGTACCTTAAAAAAAGAAGCAGAATGTTGATGTGTGAATAGTAAATAAAAATGCAGGGGTAGTTAGATTGCTAAATTGTGCCGAAAAATAAAACAAGCAAACACTCGTGAAGCTGCTGAGTCAGCATTTTCCCTATCAGTCTTACCAGTTGTGGACAGCCAGTTTGACGTTTCTTCGTTATTTTCTGCAGAGATGTGATTTTCCTGATGGAAGGGCCACAAGTTGCACAGGAAGTGAAACAGCTACTTGCTGCTGCCTGCACATAACAGAACTCGTTATAAAATTACTGCGAGATGTGGTGCTGACGGAAATGTTAAGCGTTCGCATAAACTACTAAGGCACTTTTGAGTGTGGAGTGGGATGGCAGAAATGCACTTTAGTCTTGGCTCCATTCCGATACTCTGTTTCTCCAAACTGAGTTTGTCAAAAATGCCAACAGGCAAGATGTTTGCTCATAACATTTCTACAGAACCCCACTTTTAGAGATCTAGAATATTGCTTTAAGCATAAATGATTGTATCAAAAGCTGATTAATGTGACTTTTTCTGTGTTTATCTTTCCTTGTTTTGGCAGACTCAGTATTAGAAGATCACCCACAGACAGACTGGCAACCAGAGGTAAAAGCAAACATGATGCTCATCAGTGTTGTACTAAAGTGCCCCGTCACATGACTCTCCATCTCTCTGCCACAGGAGACAAAGGGAGAGGATGGAGTCGGCACTGGGGAAGGAGAGGACTCCTCGGAGACGAAAGCAGACAGCGAGGTCATCGAGCCCGAGGTGTGCGAGGAGGACGAAGGCGACGGGGTGGAGGAGTTCTTCTCCGAACCGGACGGGGAAATGGAGCTGGAGCCCGCGGCCAGCGAGAGCGAGGACGGGTACAGCCTTCACACGGCGTCCTCGTCCCTGCAGCTGCACACAACCGCAGACTCAATCCCCAGCAGCCCCACCTCATCGCAGTTGTGAGTGGTCACAAATTCAAACACAGTCTGCAGGGGGAAAACAAACAAACAAACAAAAAAACCACGCTCATTTGTGAGATGGTGGTTGATGTTCGCCTCCAAGGTGGCGCCTGATTTTCTGCTTCCTTAAGACGTTTGCATGTCTTCCACTTCCTTCTTCTCTGCCGTCATGTTGCAGCTCGATGTGCAGCGAGGACCTGGAAGCTCTGCAGGCTCACAAGATCTGGAAGAAAGCCATAATGCTTGTGTGGCGTGCAGCAGCCAATCACAGGTCAGAACACTGGTGCACCATTTCTCATATGTATTTCCTTCAATTCTCAGTTTCATCACTGAAAGAGATTTTCTGTGAATCTTTTGAAGGTATGCAAATGTTTTTCTTCAGCCAGTAACGGATGAAATTGCACCTGGATACCACAGTATTGTACACAGGTAAGTACAAGATTAATAAAAAAACTAAAATAAAAAAACAGAAACCACAGACGCAACCACCTCCTTCTTCACTCTTCTCCTCCCCCAGGCCCATGGATCTGGCCACCATAAAGAAGAACATCGAGATGAGTTTGATCCGGACCACCGCCGAGTTCCAGCGGGACATCATGTTGATGTTCCAGAACGCGGTCATGTACAACAGTCTGGACCACGACGTGTACCACATGGCCCTGGAGATGCAGCGGGACGTCCTGGAGCAGATCCAGCAGTTCCTGGCCACGCAGCTCATCATGGAGACGTCTGAGTCCGGCATCAGCGCGAAGAGCCTGAGGGGCCGCGAGAGCACGCGCCGACAGGACTCCACTGACAAGGTGCTTCACTAGAACTTTGACAAAAGCAGAGAGTACAGAGGAGGAGACCAGGGTGAGGCGTCCACTTGACTTTTTTCCTTCCTTCCCAGCCCACCCTATCCTAACATGCATTCCATGGATTTTTTTTTTGTTACTTGTAGTGGCAGCAAAGTGAGAGACAGTATTAGGTGGTACAAACACTGAATGCTTGAAGTGGTTGTGTTAGGCTTTTTCATTATAAACAAGCTGGTATGGCAGATCCATGGTTCTTCATATATTGCCTCTAAGCTAATTTTAATATCTAATATTAGTGATATTAACATTTTTCTAATTTTGATCTTCATTGTTTAGCGCTGTCACATTTCCTAGTCGACAGGATATACGCAGGATTAAGTGTGGGAATAAAGCCATAGGCTAGACCATCCAAAATCACAGCCACTGTCTCCTGGTCTTTGCAGTAAATAAATGTCCCGGCCCATGTGGACCAGGTCCTTCGAAGGACGCACCCCCTGAATTTGGACCCAGCCTGTATATTATGTTGCATCTTTCCGCTCACAGCTCTGATGGGCGTCGTTTCTTTCTTACAGGACACTGTGTCCATGTCTTCGCCTGCCTTCCTCCTTTCTCTTTTTGTAAGTAATCTGAACTATTGAAAGCTTTTCCTTTGTCACATAGAAGCAGACAATAAAAACAACAGTTATGTAAAGTTTAAAATTATAAAAGCAAACTTTAAAAACATATCGTTTATTTTTTTTCTTTTATGTCTCGAAGCACAATTTAAATGAGCGCTGCTGTGACATAAAACGGTGGTGTCCTCCACGGCCAGTATCCTGCATGTTTTACATTTCTCCGCTAACACACCTGCTTTAAATGAAGGAGRAAACAGGCTTCTGCAGAACTTGAAGACCTGCTGGCGAGCAGAGAAACAACTCAAACATGCAGGATAGTGGCCCGTGAGGACCATAATTTGACACCCCTGCTTTAAATCGAACTTGTCTAACTGGTTATATATTTTTGTGTGTTATTGCAGGATGGCGGCACCAGAGGGCGCCGTAGTGCCATAGAAGCTGACCTCAAGATGAAGAAATGAAAACTAGTTATTTTTTTTTTTTAATGGTGGGACTGAGATTGTTGCTCAGCGGCTCGTTCTCAGTCTGAGCTCTTTACTTCCTCTTCAGACTGAACAGAAGACTGACACAGAGGGGTTTATTTCTCCTCAGACAGCTTTTCAGACATGGATTATATCTGTATATTCCCAGATTACTGTGAACTCAAACCTGTGTTTGATGTAACAGCAGATCACCTTAACCTGTTCTCATCTGCTTCTGTACAGAACCAATAATCCAACTGGATTCCCCCCACTCGTTCAGACTGAATTCATGCGTGCTCAAGTTCTGGTTCTGCGTATGATAAAAGTTACTCCTTACTTCCTTACAGTTACAATTTTAACCCATTTCCCCCAGAATAGTGTGTTTGTTTTATATTATGTAAAACCAAAGGTCAAAGAACCCAATTAGTCCTCATTTTCTAATGATTTGCACTGAAATGTGAGCAGAGGTCCAGATTCACCACAAAAAGACGTTTATATGGCTTCATTTTAAAAGTTTTTCAGATCATTTTAAATATGGCAGTGCATGTGTGTGTGTGTGTGTGTGGTGAACTGATTTCATCTTTGTGTACAATTAGGATATTTGTTTCAGTGCTTTTGAGAAAATAACATTTCTAAATTTTTGCAGACTCCACAGTGGTAACACAATAAAACTGTCTTCACCTTGTGTAATAATTACTACAAACGTGTTGTGAAATGAAACCTATGAGTTAAGATTGAGCTACAAGTAAGAAAAAGGTAACTTCCAACTTTAATATTTCATCACGTTTAAAACCTACACCTACAGAATAAAAAAATTAATAAAGAACGGGTGACCTTATTGTCGCTCTCTGATGTAGGTTTAATGATAATAAACAGTTTTTAATTTCACTTTGGTTATGTCTTTTTTGCTGTTAATGAGTATTTTTTTCAATCATATCCGTGTCACTTTGTCCTCATTCCAACCTACATGTCCTAACTTCATCTATTTGTCTTCTTTATATTTTCCTGACAGCATCTTTAATATCCTACCAATATCCCCACTGTCCCTCGTGCATAAAGGAGTGCGCAACTTTCACACTAAAAGTTGGCGTAGGTACAAAAGAGAATTACGCACAAACAAAATTCAGATGCGTAAAACTGCGCACACCCGTGTTTCTGCGTACATTTCCTTTATACATCCCAACGAACATGGAACTGAGTGTCTAAATAAGTAGTAATATCCACTATCCCTCCTCAACACATGTCCAAACTGTAAACACAAAGGAACTTGTGAGTTTGGTAGAACTTAGAAAACATTTATTTGATGTGCAGCGCTTCAAGTTTCTGCCGCGGTGAAGGATTTATATTTTAGAATCATAAAGTCTCTCATTCAAGTGCATGGCTCAGCTCAGAACCACAGTAAAACACCTGATTGTAATTTGTTTGGTAAGACAAAAAACAAAACAAAACACTGATATCAACCTGCAGAACAGTTGTTCCACAAATTACGCACAACTTTACGCAGCAACAAATCTATTGTCTGTGTCTTGCGGAGCTCAGGAATCATCACAGCTGAGCTGTTCTGAATTAAACTGCCGAGTTGAAAAAGTTTTTTTTTCTCTCAGTGAGAATTTAAATGCTTCATAGACATATTCACACACATTTTAGCCTATCCTCCTCAGCTGTGTGCGCYCCTCGCAGGCCTGCGCTCTGCGTGTGTTTCCAACAATGTGACAACAATATAAACACTTTACAGTTTACAGACTGGACTGAGSTTTTGATCATTTTTATGATCTATTTTCTTGTCTGAGGTTAAATGATTTTCAGTCCCGGGGTTCAGTTTCATGATCGTTCGAGTTTAAACAATAAAAACTCAAACTAGAAAAAAATAAAAATCTAACACCGTGWTCAGACGCTCCTTACATTCAACAGAAGTCAAATTTTTATGAATTCAGGTCAGATTTGTGACTTTGTGGGTTAAAACTGTCGACTGAAAAACTTTGCGTGGCTGTCGCACACTCTCACGGCAGGTGAAACACAACGTTGGTTTTGATACATCCCAACGTGGGCAGAACCTTGCGCACGCAACTTTTTTATGCACGAGGGCCCTGGACATGTCCAAACCATCTCAGTCTGGTCTCCAACTTTATCACCCAGTTGTTCAAACTAATCTTCTCCATCCTCATCACCTTCAGATCAACTTCCTGTTCTGTCTCCTGTCATTTGGTCAAAGCTGTGTACAAATCTGTCATCATTAATCACTTCTGATYCTTCTCTCCATCTGCTTCATCCTGCCTGAACTGTCCATCTCTTTGCAACACTTCCTGTTTTCCAGAGCAGTATGTATTATGTCGTTGACCTTTGTGACCTCTGCTTCTTGTAGCCTCACTGCTCCACCTGCCTCCCTCTCATTCACATGTACTCCTGTCTACTTCCAATACCTCCACCTCTCCATGTTCTCTTCCACCTGTTCTCACCATAACTCACAATGTCATCTGCAACAGCCTGAGTTCAGAAAAAAATATTGGGGGTGGGGTGGTATTCAGGGGATTCGCCATTTTTAGCACAACACGTTTTTTATGAATACGGGGAAACTTCAACACAGACTAAATGGGTCCAACAGCAGCATCTAAATTTGAAACTTTCAAAATAAATTCAGAAAGTCCTCAGCTCCGCCCCAAATTAAATCTCATCCTCACATCTTTTAAAAGTTCAGCATTCAAAGAGAAAAAGAAAGCACAAAACTCACATTACGATTCTTCGCGACAGGTCAAGTTGAAATTACATCTTTATTTGTCGGGGATTGTTTTGGCTGAAAGCTTCTCGTAATTCTCCAGTTCACCTTCAAGCTGATTGTTTCCAAAACCCAACAAGTGTTTCTGTCACAGTAAAGAATTTACATTTCCGTAGCTTAGCGTGAACCTGAATAAAGTTGTCCATTTATAATAGTCATGACGGTTCGTCAGGAAATAAATAATTTGCAACTAACAAAAACACTCACAAGAACGCATGCAACAGTAACAATACTGAACACAGYAGGAACTTAAAAGTGCTTAAGATGAACCTGAATTTTCCAAACCTATGAAACCAGCTAAGGCAGTTTGGTAGATGTAGTGTGCAGTATGTGTTACTGTCAGTAAAGACGATGCAGGGTTTGGGGATTAGTTATTAAAACAATTACATTTCAACAATGTCAGCATCCTAATCAGAATGACCTGATTTGGTTTCCAGCTGTGGAAATAAAAACAGGTTTAAGGTCCATCTACTTTAAATTTCAGAACAAATTTTAAATCTATCTACAAAGTACTGGTGCAGAATTAAAAAACATTTGAACTAACTTCAATATAAATTAGCTGAAAATACATCCTCAGTGGTGCAACAGTCGATGCAACCTGCAGGACGTTCAATTACAGCATATTTCTGTGATTTAAGCTGCTAATCTCACTGGGCCGCAACTGCTGGCGAATATTTGGGAAAAAATGGCCAAAATATCTCAAAACATATGTGGAGGGTACTTAACGGTTTTGTGTGAAATGCATAATCTTGCCCTCTTGTAGCTTGACGTTCCAAAAAAATTGTGCAGCAAATTCACCATCACTTTACCTGTCTGAGTTTTGTTGCAGGCATCAGCGACCTGTTTCAAGAGCGGCAGAGCGACATACTGTTCTGCTCATGTCCAAGCTTTAAAACCCTATTTATGATCAATAATAAACCATAAAAAGCTGGTCTAAAATTGCTCTTTTTTGTTTTAAGCATGCCACGTTGGGTTTAAAGCGAGCTGAGGCAGGTACAATGTGGGCCAAAGAAAAGGGTGTGGCTAAAATACTGTTTTGCAAGCCATGCCTATGAAAATAAAACTTTTTTTTTTTGTTTTTTTTTGTTTTTTTTCAAAACAGTGGCCACTAAAAATGAGGCCACATTGCTCACTGCTAGCAAGCACTCATACATCAGTCTGAAACTAAATTTTCACCTGTTTCCTCATGTTTCCTCACAACTTCYAGTCACCAACTCGTCTTCAACAGTCACAGCCCAGTGAAATACTAACTTTAAGTCATACAGCAGATAAATAATCAAACATTTGCTTTGTGTAAAAGGTAATCTCGCAACACAAATGTGTTTGGATTTGATCAAACACAATTTAGGTCACAGTACTTGTTTCCTACAAAAAAAAACAACAAAAAACAAATAAAACAAAAAACTAGAGCTGAGCTAAGACGCTCAACCAACAGCTTTCACTCCATTAACTTCCAAATAAATACATCTAAATTTTCAGCAAAGATCAAAAAATGAAAAAAAAAAAAAAATTGAACAAACACAAATACACTACAAGATCTAAACATGTATGTGTGAAACATACAACCACCTTTGTAGCCCCAAAGGGAGACTGCATATGTTATGCCATTTTCTATAAGAAAGTTTGGAGGCTAGGAGACATCCTTCACACTGCCACAGTGAGTTTTCATGCTGCTAACGCCACAGCCAGCGCTGGCAGCAAACACTGTTTACTACCATCCAAGAGAAGGCACATCGTTTCCTGCGGTGTAATTTATCCACTGACTGCACCGTACCCCGCCTCCCCTCAAAATGTCTTTTTCAAAAACACAAGCCAGATTGGGTAAATTTACACATTACGCAAAAGAAACACTTCCTCCTCTCAAACAGTCCTCATTTGACTCTTTGACGCCCCACCAGTCGATGCAGCTTCTCACAGTTGTCCAGRCTCATCGACTCGGCCTTCTGCTTTAAGCGCTCGTCGCGGTAAAGCTGACCCAGGTTTGCCAAGTCAGACTCTGGAAAGAAAGAAGAGTGGGTAACATTAACAATTTAATATAACATTATAATCATTATGGCCTTTTGGGGCGGAGGGGTTGTGCTCTACAGAGCCCTGCAGCAACCTAAGACTTTATCCCTAATGGCTTTTTTTACTTTAAGTATATTTATAACTAGTACTTTTACACTTTTACTTGAAAGCTTGAGTTGATACTTCTAATTCCAAAAACGTATTTTAAACCCTAGAATCTATACTTCTACTTAAGCAAAAAAATGTGAATACGTTTGACAACTTTTCATCAGAATAAAGAAAAAAATGACTAAAAGGTTTTGATATTTACATACTGTACACCTGATCAGCTCATTGTTACTGACTAARGCTTAATGTGTAACAGATTCATCAAGAGACAAAGAAGATTACAGAGTTTGAATTAAACTACTCAATTATAGTTCATAATTAACAAAATTCTCACTTAAAGAATACGGGGAAAAAAACACATAAGGTATAATATCACAATGTTTTAAAACTAAAACCTAAATGTGAAACCTCAGCTGTTTGCTTACTTTGCTGTTTTTCCTTCCAGCAGCTGCTCTGCAGGTGTTCGATATAATCGCTCTCTATGGTTTTCTCCAACTCCTCCAGCGCGGCTCCACGGTACTCCTTCTCGAAGCTTTTATCCACGTAGTACGGCACACCCATATGCTGCGTTTCTCTGGACACCACCAGCCCCATGGCTCTAAAACCAAAAGCACAAAATTCAAACGGATCCAGGGTGTTAAACCTGGTGGAACCTGAGGATTTCGTAAAAACCTTTGGTTTGGTGGTCTTTTTGTTTGTTTGTTTTAGACTTACGGTTTGTAGAAGAGACTGTAGGGGGGGTTAGTGGCCATCATCTGAGTAAATACTGATATGAGGATTAACACCAGCACAGGGAGAAGCTGCAGGAGAGCTGTGAAGGTGTTCTGTTGGAAGGAAAGATCAGCAAAGATTACAAAATATACAACACCATATGGAAGCTGATTACACTGCACGCACCCAGCACTGAAAATAGCTTTTATTAAAGGCACAGTGTGTAGGATTTGTTGTTTTCAGCGACATCTAGTGGTTGAGTGGTTGAATCATCCTCCCTGGTCCTCCCCCCACCCCCACCCCCCGCTTCCAAACACAAAGGAGTTGCTACGGTGTCTCTCAGGTGACAAAAACCTTTGATAATTCCAACCGCGATGTCTACCAGCAGCTTCAGGGCTAGTGATGTTTCAAGTGGTAAGATTATGAGCTTTAATAAYTAAAATTATCCCAGCTACAATGACAGACAACAATTATTACATTTATAGTATTACAACTAAAACCGTTTTCGACGCCGCCACCGCAGTTTGTCCTTCATGAGCCTTCGTAGACAAGATGGCGGTGCAAGATGGCGGCTGCCTGTAATGGCGACCCGTGACCATGGAGATATAAACAGCTTTTTATAAAGTAAAAATAATAAAACAAGGTCTTTGTCTGCAATGATTAGACAAGTTTTTTATTATTGTCATTAGTGATTATCTCAATTTTGGCTAAAAGAATTGACAAAATCCTACACACTGTGCCTTTAAATACATTATATGTAAAAAAGGAGGCATTTAGAGGTTGTACATTTTGTTAAATAAAAGGTTCTTCCCCCCAATTTCTGCTCCAGATCTGCTGGGCTTGTTGTGCTGCATTTCCAGAGGACGATGACAACACAACACGGAGGTTGTTTACCAGGGAATCGTCCTCATGTTCAGTGAGTCACTGACCTGACTCTGGTTTTCCTCCACCACCTCCTCGCGCCTTTCGTAAGCACGCCGACGACGAGGCTGATAGAACTGAGAGTAGGAGGCTCCCTGGTTGGTGTACACGTGAACATTTCCTGCAGAGAGTCCGAAATTTACGATAACGAGAATAATGGCACAGATGATGTATCTACTCGTCTGTATGAGCAGTTAAGTACTGACCTAAAAATGTCCGGTTATGTAACGAGCAACCCTGCCTCTTTCTACTCACCAGTAGGAAACCTTCCTCCAAAGAAAATGTTGAAGAGCTCTTCAGGAGAAATGTCGGCCTCGAAGTCTCTGTAGAAGTTTCGGTAGTGACCAGCGCGACCGTGGCCGGAGTGTTGGGGCGTGGCTGAAGTCGCGCACTGATCTCCGTACTGATCATACTGCTGCCTCTTCTCTGGATTGCTCAGCACTGCATACGCGTTGCCTATTGCTGTTGGGAGGAGTGGAAAACTAACATGAAGTGAGAAGTTTGAGCTTTTTACAGCCTGAAACTGTGACCCCCTTGTTAGCATTGAGCTAGAACCGAAGGTTTGCTGTATTGTGTATTTCCAGTTCCAGGTTTCAAGGTTTGTGCAGGTAAGTGATGATCCTCAAACTGTAAAACTTTCAARCTTTTATAATTTGTGGACTAGAATCTAGAATTGACAATGGATAGATAATGGTTGGATATCTTCAGTCAGAAATGGAGGTATTTGGAGATTTTAAAGCATCTTTCTGTGACTACATCCATGATTTGTTTTAACTGCTGACTGTGCAGAATAGTAAAACTACATACTACTGTTTATTGGTATTAAATTGGCATTCAGCTTCATGCTTTTTAAAAATATGTATTTCCCATCACCACATAAAGCAGGCTTGTCTGTGTCTGCACGTTTGCTTGTCTGTTGGTTAGAAAAAACATCTCCTGAACTAATGAATTAACTTTAACGAAACTCTCAACAGGTGGTTTGGTTGTAGCTGCGAGTTAAACCTGTCACATACTCTGAGATCTTAGTTTAAAACTTGGGCATACAAGGCGGTGGGTGAWATGCATTCTTTCAAGGAATGCTARATGAACGAACAGCAGAGATTATTTTGTTTTTACTAGTACCTTTGAATGCATCTGTGGCTCCTGGGGCAAAGTTCTTGTCTGGGTGAAACTTCAGTGCCAACTTCCTGTACGCCTTTTTCAAATCTTCATCACCAGCGTTTTTGGTAACGCCAAGGATTTCATAAAAGTCCTTGCAATTCTTTATCCTGCAATAACAAAGCATGTTAGATGTTATGGCACAAACTTAGCAAAGGCCCTCTCTACTGAGCATATGACTGGTGATTAGATAAGCCTTTCACAGAAACTCTGTTWAATCAGTCAGAGGTAGAGAAGCTTAAAAGAAAAACAAACTGTCTTTCAAGGAATTCTTTTAAAGAAAAGTACAGTAAGTGTGTCATGTTTGCCAAAATCATTTTCACCAGTTTGACAAAGAAGTCAGCTGACAGTGTGACTTTGCATCTACTTTTTCCTCAAGGAATCTGAACAACAACAAACTACAAGAGACGAATACTACAACAAACCATGGACCACATCAGCAGCAGTGGATCAGACCACCTGTTAGAGCACGTCAGTAAAAGGAGTAAATGTGCACCTGAGAACACTCTGACGCTGATCTTCAGTATAAGTCTTCTTTTCYTCATTTGCTTCGTTACTCGTTTCCTGGTTTCTCGTGTCCTCGTCTCTCCAGCCAGTCGGTGGAGGGACGTGGTTTGCTTCTGAGAACGCACTGCCTCCGTTCTTCTGTATGGCATCTATTAACACTACAAACYGCAACAAAAACAACAAAACATCGCTGGTTCAAACTTTTAAAAGGTTTGAGATAAAAATCACAGTGACAGCTCCAACCTACTGTACACACAGATACTGTATATCCACTGTTCTTCCTTCATCCAGTCATGGTTTTTATTATTATTATTATTATTTTACCCACTCAGACCTTTTATTAGCAGGCCTTAAATGCCTTGTTTCTGGCACAGCATCCATTAACTTTCTTTGCTTAATTATTGAAGTATCAGTTTTTGCTTCTGTAATTATTCTGATACGTGCGTATCTCCTTTTGTAATTTTGGAGCTATTTTAACTAGGATATTCTGGCTATGACTTTTGGTACTTCAGCAATACTTTTGGACATATTTAATTTTTTCTGCCATTTTTTTCTCTTCAAAAATAAACGGAGCTCTCATCAACAACATTAAAATCCTTCAAAATGTTCATAAATCTTTCCTGTTTTTTTTTTCCTTCTGGTTCAGTTTGAATTTTTCAGTTTCCTCTGGCTTCTTTCTTGCTGATTGTAGCTTTTTTCTGCTTCTTAAGCTATCATTCTGACCTTTTCTGCTATTCTTCTAATTTCAACTTCTGCTATTTGAAAATCTTTTGTTCTTTTCACTCTTTCTAACCCTTTCATCTATATTATTTATTCCTTTTTTTACTTTTTATCTCCAATCCAACTTTATTTGTAAAGCACTTTTTGCACCATAGTAGACCAAAGTGCTGTTTATCTGTATTCGTACAGCTGTTCTCTGCCCTTTGGAGCTTTAATTTGGGTTCTTCAGCAAATTRCAGCCAGCATTCAGCACCTCAGCTGTTAATATTCAACATTACTAGTTCAGTATTTCAAAAAATCTCAGCTTCAGCAGCTAGCTAAATTATGCATMTTCACAGGAAATACATTTACTTTAGATTTAATTTGTCTCTTATCTGTATTATATTATTGTAGGGGTAATGAATGTGCACTGGCTTTGCCATATAGGCCTTTACGCATATTCTGTTCACATGCAAAAACTGCAAAAAGCAAATGAGGACCTGAAAACTGGATGGTTTAAACAAAACAGCTTTTCAGGCACTGTTAGGAYGGGGAGGGCGCCTTGAAAACCTACATTTCAACATAAAGCCTCAATAATGTCAAGGYATAAACCCCGGTTAATAACATGAATCCACATTTATTTCCAGCACCACACAGTTTGGTAGAAAGTTACTTATTCAGCAAGTCGGGCTGCCATTGCAGAATGTGCGTCAGCTAATTTTACCTCTGGCCCGKGCGCTGGGGTAAATATTCTGCGCTTCATGGAGCAGCTGTAGCGCCCGGTCCTTTCGTCCCGACCGTAAACACAGCTTCGCCTTCTCTACGAGCCGCTCCGCTTCTTCTTTGTCCATTTCACAGCTTTCAAGGGTGTTTTAGCGATTCCAGCCGCTGCCTGTATGCTCCGCACAACCAGGCGAGTCAATAATCATGTGGAGGAGGAGGAGAGGCGAACACTACCGTAGATAGCCGATTAGCTTCGGTTACAGACAGCTGCGTAATGTTAGCTCGGCGCGAGCCGCAGTCACTCAAAGTGCCTCGCGTCCAGGTCGGCGCCGGGCTGAAAACTAGAAAACATTCCTGCGGGTCGGGCCATTTTTTAAAGTCCTAAAAGTCAACATTTTTTTAGGGCTTCACAGGCGTTTTAAAGGACATCGTTTTGGATTACAGTGGTCACCCCCTCCTCTTCTTGTGATGGACAAAAGGTAGAGGCGAAACCCGCGGCGATGTCATTTCCGGTGTAGTGAGCGAAAAAAAAAAAGGGAGAATTCAAAGGTTTTTATGTTACCATGAAATGTACTTTGTTTTGGTGTTGTATTTGCAGATACATTAGACAGTAGCGTATTACATTTCTTGTTTTTTTTAAGCAATGTCGTAAAATCACATGATTGAGTTGAGTAACATGAGCAGGTGGAGGATGATGAACAGTGATGCGTTCAAGGACTGTGGGTGTTCTTTCTTTCTGTCATTTATTTCTCTGTTTTTGCTTAATGCTCCATTATGAAGTAATTTAAATAATTGTGAATCACACTAAAATTTTAAGGGTTCTTTCTTTAGCTGTTATTCACTAATAATATACAGAGGGGTAAAAAAAAAAAAAAACAGAACAACCCTTTTGAAAATATTTAATTGCTCCAGAGATCTATTATCTTCAAATTCTGGAAAAGTTGGGTAATGCTAGTAAAAGAAAATGAGAAAAACCCTCCAAACTTTTTCCAAACTTGAAGTGAAAGCGGGAAGAACTTTGCCACTTTATGAAAAACTGGAAAAGGGCAATAATTTACCAGTATAAGAATAAGATTAGAGATTTCAGAGGAATGCCTGTTCACAAAGAATTCAAGTTAAAAGCATCTTGTCATGGAAATCATAGCAGTCAATTATAATTTAGTAGCACAACAGCTTAGTGGTTAGCACTGATGCCTCACAGCAAGATTCAGACCTGGGGTCTTGAGTTTCCATGTTCTTGTGCTTGCAGAGGTTTTCTCCAAATGCTCTGGTTTCATCCCACAAATCAAAAACTTAGGTTGCCTTCAGGACCAGGTGTCTCTTGCAAAAAAAAAAAAAAAAAAAAAAAAAACACATCTGTGATATCATTGGGATTGGCCTGGATAAATAAAGATGAATAAATAGCATGATCTGAGGACCATTAATTGAAGAAATGCTTTATCTGAAGCCATATCTGAAGATATACTTTCAAGCAAATTACACTGATGTCACAATTTTGTTTATATCAAKAACTTTTGGAAAAACAGACTCATAAAATCATTACAAAAACATCTAGTAAAGACCTGAGCCATGCCTCATCCTTCAGTTAACCCTTGGCATGAATAGTTTCTTATTAGTAGACTTTGTTGGGGCTAAAACACTGTTTTATGGTGTAATGTTTTTGGTGCATCAAATATTAAAAAATGGCAAGGAGATTCCAGGTCATGATCAATCAAAAAATAAATAAAAAAAGTTAAAAAACAAAAACAAGTGAATTTCTGGAGATGCAGTTTTGAACAGAGAAAGCAGCTTGGAAGGGAAGCAAAATGTCTCGAGTTTCAGAATTGAAGTCCAGTTGTTTTTGCTTTTTAACCTGTTTTTATTTTTTTCTTTTGGACATGACCTGGATGATGGAGAATCTTCAGCATATATCATAAAGAACCCAAAGCAACAAATACAACATAAATAAGAATATCCTTTGTCTAAATGTCATCTTGCAATATTTAGCCAAACTTTTTCTCATATTTACACTTTTTCATTGCTTGGAGTCTTATTGGACCAAAGACTGAAATGTCACAGTTGCAAACAAAGCTTCAGATAGATAAAAAATATAAAAAAACATTACAACAAAATCTTGTAAAAAACAAAGAAACAAGCAAAAACCTCAGGTTTTTTCACTGAGTCACAATGATTAATAAATCTATAGTTTTATAATTATGTGACCAAAAATACATTCAAACATAATTATTATTTTTGACTGCATATGAATTTGTACTAAAGTTATGTCTAGATATAACCTTTGGGGAGAGACTCACATTAATAATTTCACCACTGAGTTAGAAAATATGCCACACGTTTTGTTCATGCATATTTTATTCAAGAGTAAAAAAATGTGATTTGTCCCATAGGGCATGCTTACAGTGTGTGTATTACTTAGGAAGTCCAATGCCAAAACATATTTCCATAGATAAAAAATGTTGCAAGATAAAATCCATTATAAGTTCTTTGTTGAAGTATGCAATTTAGACTATACGAGAACCAGAAACAGAGGAATGAAAAAAACCATAAGCTAAATTGTAACAATAATAATAATGATAATGATAATAATAATAATAATTTCAGCAGTAAATATAACCAGAATACAATGTTTCCCGTTAAATGTGCGACACCTGATTTTCTTTGTGTCCGTTTCATTTACATTTGAAAACCCATGCTATCATGCTTTGGCAGCCTGAAAAGTTGCTTTTCAATGAGAATATATTCATTCACACTATAGAACATTTTCTGTACATCAGTACAACAGAAAATATATATATATAAATATAGCACAAGGCTTGACACCTTAGAAGGGCATCTCTGCATATACGACTAACCAATAAAAAAATTAAAAGCAACGATGGTGAAAAAAATACAAAAAAATGAAAAACAGAAAAAAGTGGACCAAAACAACCAAAGGAAGCCTATTTATAAAATGTATAAAACAAGACAAAAAAAACTACAAATATAATTCAAAAATAAATGAATTCAAGTTTACTATTTGAAATACGACTAACACGATTATAACTTCACGTAACAATTAGGAACTTAATTGCATGCATTGATGCATTCCATATCATAGATGCTGTGTTAAGTCACTTTTCATCTTTAATTCACGTATCTTTATCACTGAAAAAAAAGATGTATAATCTTGAAAAAAAGTACTAAGTGATTACAGGAACTTCTAGAATTTTGTTGAAGGTGTTGGATGGTTGGGGCTTGCCATCCTCAACTTTTCTATCTTAGACATTTTATAGAAATTATTAAATTTATTCCTATCGCATGAAAATTTAATTTTGCTGTCACATCTTGCAACACTGTTTGGACACAATTTCATATTCAATTTTAGCTTTACTTTCCCTTGAATTCCACTATAAAATGAGATTAAAATGTATGTTTAAGAAAAACCCATAAGTCTGATCTACACTAAAATACTACTGATTATCTTTAATTAATCCCTGATAAAATTCCTGATCCCACGAAGTGTTCCCAACCAAAAAAATGACATGGACTCCATTGTCAATCGGCTCAGATGTTGGATTTAAGGTCACAAATGACTCACTGACTGGATAATTGTTTATATTAAAACAAAATTATAAATGAACAATTTTAAACTTCTCTTTCCATCTGATAATTTTCTTTATAGGCATAACTTCTTTCCAGCACAACCAAAGATGCAAAAACTCATAGATGCAGATTCATACTGTGTGTCTGCATGTACTGTTTCTGTTGAAAGAAGCAGGTGAGAAAAATAGTTAAGTGTCTCAGTTATCAGGGTGTGTCCCAACATTCAAAATAATGTCTTCTGTTTGTCCTGGAATTGGTCTTAAACAGGTGGTTTTGATCTTTTAAAGTGGGTTTCTGTGGATAGGTTATGAACAATTACTATCTTACCTGCAGCACATGGAACAACTCCCGTTTAGAGAAATAAGATTTAATTTTGATGGGCTTTACAAGCTTTCCACCAAAGTGGATTGCTGCCATTTTAAAACAACTCCAGTTTCTAAAATTCCATAAAGATCCATGCAAATGTTATTTAGTAAAACCTTACATTAGTCAGTTTCATGTACATGGTTATTCTGAGAGAAATGTTATTATATTCATGCAAGATGCTTACCAGGCTGCACTAGAAGTGCTACAGCTAGCTGTTGTTGCTATTTTGCTTGCAAAAAAAGTAAAATTCTACATTAATAATCATGTATTAAAAACTGACAACAATGCAAAGATTAGAAAATAGCTTTGCCATAATTGATTATGAAAGTTTTGAAACTGGAGTTGTTTTAAGACAGCAAATGCCAACTTTGGTATTGGCTTTTCTTGTCAGTCTGGCAAAAACATAGTTATTATTCCTAATTGAGGCTTCTTAAAGAGCTATTATTATAACCATTTCAAAGAACCTTGAACATCAAAACCATCCCTTTAACGCAGAAAGCAAGCAATCCTCAAAGTGTACATTTTCCAGAAAATGAACTGCCTGATTTTCAGCCATTTGAGGTGAAGCGGTATTAAAGGCCATGCTGCTGTCATGTGAACTGCTTGAAAAACTTTTGAAAGAGAAATAAAAAAACTTAACGGATGGTTTAGAGAGAAATAAAACCAGCTGAGATTAATGTCTGGTGAGGGCTAGTGTCTAATCTTGGCGTTGAATCTGAGGTAATGCTGAGGTTCCTTCAGTAACCTGACTTTTCATCCGCTCTCTTTAATGCCTCGTCCCCTTCAAGTCTTATCCCACTGAGAGGTGACTGATTTTAAAGAGAAGAGGAAGTAACAAATGCTGGAGATGACTACGGGTTTTTGCTCTCAGACAGTTGCGGTTTAAGTCCAATGTTTTCACACATTAGCACCTTTCCCTTGCAGGAACATCTTACAACAAGGTAAATCAATAAATTTAAGTCCACTGGTAAGATGGTGCTCTGCAGGTTTGAAGAAGTGCACATTTTACTTTTTGATTTTTCTTCCATTTCTTTTTATGACGTGACCTAATACTAGCAAAACATTTACTGTAGATAAAGAAGTTAGTTTCCCTCTTGAAGTGCATTAATGTGTGATTCATATTAAATACTTTATAAAACAGTAAAATGATGGATTTGTGGCATGGATACTGCGAGTATGTCTTCAGTCAGGCCTTGTGATGAAGGAGCACAAGTGTGTCAGGACTCAAAACAACTAAATCCCCCAACAATTCAGTCGATAGTTGGATTCAGAAAGGGCCTACAGTCAGACACAACGCTCAGCCACACATTCTTTGCAGTCAAGCTGTAGCCTGTGGGTTCCTGTGAACCCCTCCACCCCCTATCCCCCAGCAGTGCAATGACGCGCCGTCATGAAATAAAAGACCTTTTTCCACCTGTTTTTAGAATTGCCGCAGATTTCATGATCTACCTGCGGCCCTGTTTTATTTCTAAGTTCTGAGGCCCGAATTTGCCGATTTAAGCGAAAGTCTTGCTGCACAGCGCAACGGTGGCACAGTTTCCAAAGGCCAGGACAGCACATCACTGGATGTTGCTGTTGTCTTCTGTGCCGTTTGCCTCTGACATATTCATTTTGCCCATGGAATGACCCACGTGGTTCACCCCGTCCTTGCGGGGCGGCAT